AACAAATTGGTACGTACGTAATCTACGTATTGTGCAGAAATAATAACTTAACCGGATCGGCCGAAAAATCATTTGGCTAATTTTTACAGGTGTCCCAGGAATTATGAAAACAGCTGTAATCGATACTGATCGATCGATTATCATCAATGGTGTAGATAATCGATTTAAACTAAATTGGTACTGTAATTATTTTTGAATCCAGACCAAAATGTTATTATTTACTAGAGAGAACCCGTGCCGTTCAGCACGGGGCAAGGGCTGTTGAAAGTTCAATGCTTTTAGTCTAGACTCCGTAAAATAGGACTAATAAGAAAATGATTCTTGAGTTTTTGCATATAATTATTTTATTACTAAATAATGAACCTAAATACTCCGGGTCTTGTACATTACTCCAATTTTTAAACCCATTAGTAGACCCGAGTTCTAAATACTTGCCCAGAGCTTATGACGTGAAAAAAATTCACACTTTATATTTATAATAGACATTCTAGCTATTTGAAAAAAAACCCCGCATTTAATTAATAAAGATTCTGTGGTTCACGCCCGGGTCTAATTTATGGTGATTTACGATTTTTGGAGATCTTGCATATGAACTTTTATTGTAAATGAGCTTATTCCAATATTCTCATGCACTAAATTAATGCGAATAAAATGAACTTAAATGGTAACTATTTATGAACTTGGATATCTGATTTAAATACTAAATTATTATACTCATAATTCATGCGTATAAATAGTAAATATAATGAGCTTGAATAACTTAAACAAAACTGGAATAGTTTCTTTGAATATTTAGCCTAATAAATTGTTTTTATGCTCATGCATTAAATCATTATGTATATCGAATCTAAGTTAATACATCATATACTGGTATAACTAGAGATGGGAAAAATGCGCATTAATGCGCACGAATTGTTTCATGCGCATGATATCGCATGATAAAAAAAAGGCAAAAACGATCGGAGGAGAGAAATTTTGATGGGATAAAATGCGCATGAATGCGCATTAATGCGCATTATTCCTCAATCATGCGCACGCATGAAACTCATAACCGATAAGTAGACAGATCATATTGTACAGGCTGTTTTATAAACTGTACTATCGCTATACTTTTTTGGGTTAGAAATTATAGCTGATCAATATCGGTATAGTCTTTCACCTATTACAAAGAGCAATAAATCGGTGGTGGTGATGAAGATCGTTTGAAATCCTTAGATTTTAATCGAATCTAATCGATTTTTAAAATGTTCATAATGTTTGAATAATATTAAATAACTAAAGTTTTAGAATAATGCATGTGTTAATTTGCATTGAGATTTTATCTGGTGGGCGCTCAATTAAACTTGGTGAGCTGCATAAACTAAATTTCTTTTTGGTAAAAATCTTTTCATCGATAAGTTAGCTAACAGTCTAATTTAATGTTTAATTTGAATTATCGTTATTAGAAAATTGCTTTCAGGAAGTGATTGTCGGAGAAATCATGTAACCTCATGTTTCATACGTTTTTTATCAATTGCCAAAATAAAACGAATTAATGAAAATCACGAGCTGTTTTTTTTTATATAATAAGGCAATAATTTCACTTTACTCTGGTCAAAAACAAAAAAAAATAGCAATACCCAATATTTAAACTCAAAAATTCTTATAAAACAAAATTTTTTTGTTAACTTATCAGTTATAAAAACAAATAATAACCATGATCCGAAATTTTGTCTTGTTATTCGTTTTTTTGGCCGCACTTTCTATGGTCAATGCTTTTCCATCTCAACTGGTTAAAAGGCAGACTTCATTTGGGAATTGTCCAGGATTTGAAAATGGTCCAGCTATCACTGATGTAACACTTAATCCTGATCCTCCAAAAGCTAATTCTCAGGTAGAGGTTAAAGGTTCAGCAAATACCAATAACGATATTGTTAGTGGCACTTTCTTCGGTTTTGAAATTCTCAATGATACTCATAAAATATTCTCCAATGCTAGAGGCATTTGCGATCAAGTAAATTGTCAAATTAAAGTGTTTGATTTTGACGAGAAATATGATTTAGAATATTTGCCTTCATCATACCAAGTTGCAGTTTTTATTGGTCCGGATCCAAATAATATTTTAGCTTGTGGAATGGCTCAAGTCAATTAGTTTTTATTTCGTAATTTAATTTATTTTTATTTTTTATTTAAAAAGTTTAATAATTTTTTAATTTTTTTTTATTCACTTTAAAAAATAAAATTTGCTTAATTAATGGTAAACGGATAAAAAAATATAAACTTTGCAATTTCATATTGCAGCTTATCTTCCTTTTATTTAATAGGGTTTTACAAATATAAAATAGTCTTTTTGCGATTGCTATACTTATTTTCTGTGGACTATATGATTTGTAGATCACATATTTTTTAAGAATATTCTATATAATGTTCTTAAGTTATCCGTTTACATACCGATACAGTAATTTAATGATTTAATAAATTTTCAAAATAATTTTATAAATTATATTGTCATCTTTCTCTAATTTCGAAAAAAAGTTATGCCTAAAAAATAGATACTGTCAACTTCCATTCTAGATAAATTAAACAAACTCCGCATACACTAAACTTTAAATTTTGTTATAAAATTCGGTGATGTTGTAAGAGGAAGCAGAATTTAAGAGCTTAAGCCTAAAATTAGGATCTTAAGAAATTCAAATTCCACTTAAATTTCGTTTTCACAACATCATACGAATCCATTATAAAAATCAAAATCAGTAACTGACCCACTCCGGAGAAAAAATAATACACATCATTTTTGACCAGGTGATCGATAAGATATTAATTAAAAAACTAGGCAATATAAAACTTCGTTCTGTACTATTAAATATATGGATTGTTTATTTTGGTTAACTGACAACTTTTATTTATTCCTTTATACTGTATATGCAAGCCTTAAGATACATTTTAAATAAGCTATCAGTCAGAGGACATGTCACACCTATTGTTAGGCAAAACTATTTTTGGCAAGTGGCAAAAGTCGAAACTAAACCCGGCAAAAGTCAAAACTGGCAAAACTCTGGCGAAACGGCGAAACAATGGCAAAACGGCGAAACTCTGGCAAAACCCTGGTAAAGCTAAAACCCTTGGAGTAAGTCAAACACACGAAGATCAAATCCTATAAGACTTTAGAAAGACTGAGCCATATTGCTGTATTGGTAAATTAAAATATTTTGCGTATGACTATTAAGTACAGCATGTGGCTTAAAGATGCCTGACGAATGACGAAACTTTCGTCATTGACGATTGACGATACCTTTCGTCAAGCCAATTTTGAAATGACGAATTGACGATTGACGAAATTTATGACGATTGACGGAATTTATGACGAAATCTTTAAGCCAATAGAATTACAGAATCTTGTGTAACAAAACAACAATAAACGTGGGTTATGTGCACGTGATGATGATCATACAAAATTCAATGAACTTATTACGTATATTGACCAATCAAAATTGATTACATAAATGTAAACAATCTTTAAAGTTTCATTAATAAACGGGTCATATGGGTTATTATTTTTGAACATGAACCAAAAGTTTTACGGTAGTATATTTTATTTAGTGATGTGTGATATGATTTATTTGTAATCAGTGATGTAATTTGAACTCCGAATAGAAATG